GGTTTAGACTTTAGGGTTTAGGGTTACTAAAAAGGATACTGGAAGGGATACTACAAGGGTTACTTTATCTCTACTAGTTCCTTATCCTGATATGTACTTCACTATTTCCATTTTAAAGAGCTGAGCGTGTCGTGTTCTAGGGGTGACGATGAGTAACTACAAGAACCGTGCAAGGCGATCCTAGGGGGGCCCAAAAAGGAAGGCTCTAGCTGACCTCTAGAAGGGAACGGCTCTACAGACCCTACCCTAAACCCTGTAAATGTCTACCGGGGTTGTATGAAGATGTGCTGAAGGGACCTGGAAAGTTCGGGGTTTTGGGTTTAGGCCGTTTGGGATTTCGGATTTGGGATTGAATTGCCTTCAGAGTGCAACGGTTGATGGACAAAATCCTNNATACCTAAACTATGGGTTTTATGGTACTATACTATATTTGGGTCATGCAGAATTTTGTCCATCAACAGAATGATTCAACTAGGAAGAAGCGCTGCTCGTCGTTTTGGCTTTGGGTGCCAGCTGCGCCAATCTTTCTGACTGGGCTGCCCCATAGTAGCAATGGTTTCCTTCGTGGGTGCTGGGGCTCCCTCTTGAAATTCGGCCATTGAGAGAGGGGGAGTTCTCAAAGCGCTGAGGGACTTAGAGCCACTGACCCTAGGTTAGGTCGGCCACCAATTTTTGGCCGCTTTCCGATGAACGGTACCTAAGCCCTTTAGTTACTAATATAGGGGCCTTAATACTTACCTATATTATTTCTGAGGTTCCTTATTTTGATTTTGGCATAATGGGCCCCAATAATAATACTAATTATTAAGGCCCCTAAACCCTAAACCTTATAGAACCCTTCAGAGGAACCTTTTAAACTTAAACCCTTTTCTAATTATTAAGGCCCCTACAATACCCTATAAACCCTAAACCCCAAACCCTAAATCCAGATACCGAAACGCTTTAGTTACTACCTGTCTCTAAATTCTTATAGTAGCCCTTACAGAATTCCCATAGTTTAGGGTCGTCAAGGTAATGCAGGATTTATATCATCAACAATACCTCTCTCTAAGCTCTTATAAAACCCTTTGAGGAACCCTTAAAAGGAACCCCTTAAACCCTATTCTAATTATTAAGGCCCCTACATGAGCCTATATCGCCTAAACCCTAAACCCAGCTACCTAAACCCTAAACCCTAAACCCCGATACCTAGACGGTTAACTACCTAAACCCTTATCGACCCTTTTAAGAAACATTTAAAGGAACCCTATTCTAATTATGAATTCCCCTAGGTGACCTATCTAAGTTCGGCCACAGCTTTTTAAGAGCATTGCCTTGGTTCAGGACGCGCGGGAGATTCTTGCGGAGGCCCATGCTTGATCCCGGGTTTAGGGTTTATGGTTTAGCCCTCGAACCAGACGTTACGCCGCACTCCGACCCCATCCAGTTGCCAGAGCATCTCTTGCTAGCGCATCCGCGGCCCAACCATGCCCAGCCATGACAGCGTCCCCACAAACTCCGTCCGTTCCACAAAGCATCCATGTGCCAACCATGATAACGTCACCACAAACTCCGTCCGTTCCACAAAG